AAGGCCCGGCAGCAGCGACGAATTCTGAGTGCGTGAACAAGTGGAAAACAATGTTTATACCTGATGCGTCTTCCTCAACAAAAGCCGCGGTTTGAGATGGGTTGGTGGACTCTGAACAACGACCCATATTTAGCAACGAGTCGGCAGATAATTTTGGGAACCCACGTTCAGGTTGTTCCGAGTTGGAAGACCTCTTGCGCTTCCGAGGTCGCGAAACGCGCATGCGCCCAGATGAGTTTGACGGGAGTTCCATTAGCCACTGTGGGTTTTGCATCAGGGAATAAAACACCCTCTATTCGTCCTGTGCTAGCTTTATTCGTGCCTTGCCTCAGCGAGGTTCTGTTCCGCATCTTGAACTTCCTCGTCATCAGAGTGCGCACACCTTGTCTTCTCCGCTGCCCGCGCACCGCGCTTATTACGGCTGTCGTACCTGCTGCATCCACATCTGCGCTTCGAGCGCCTGATTCTCAACCCAGATATTGTTGGAGTATCAATGTCGAGGCCGCGGTGTAGCAATTAGTCGAAGGAACGTGGTGGTCGAAGGAACGTGGTGGTCGGAGAACAAAGAAGGCGGGTTACAGCGGCATGGAACAGCCACGTGCTTCGTGTGACAAAAATGTTAAACTGACGGACTTTCGCAGTGGAGAATCTGAGCTGACGGACATTCGCAGCGGGGAGTCTCAATAACGAACAATCCTCAAATCTGCTAAATTTAGATGAGGCGACGAACTTGCTCAAAATTAGCCGAACTGACGAAGTGACGAGGGTGGTATAGACTCCCGGGATAAAGACCGTTCAACGCAGGGTAAATTCTGCCGCCTCTTGCACTCATTCCAATGTGGATGTTGGAGATGAAGGTCGAATATTTGCAGTTTATCATCCATTGAGGCCCTGTGGACCGGCCACTGCAGTGAATAGAACTGCGTTGGACTATGAAAGTAAGGGGTACCTGACAAAGTAATTATAACTCAAAGAACTGCAAAAAAAGCACTGCAAAGTTTCCTGATCAGTAGCATAACCGGTGGTAAGCTATAACCAGGCGTCCAAGTTAGAATTAGGTACACCGATGAATATCGGTGGAACTAAACCTAAAGCAAGTGAAACAGTAGGGATGTTGACCCTACAACGCTCAAAGTACCTCCCGGATGGTCATGCTACGATGACAAGCAAAAACAACCAGCGGAAGAAAATTGATAAAAGCACGTACTCGAAAGCCAGCGCGGAGGCAGGTTGTGTCCGGTGAGTAGAACAATCGTTCAACAACAACGGACAGGTTTGGCAGATGAAACTCAGGAATGGTTTCCCTCCCCGTATTCGACTCCATTATTTCCGAAGTTCGGGTCAGGAATTTGGCGTCCAATTCGCTGGAGTAAAATTGAAAGGCTTGTGGGCAAATGAAGTGGGGTTCGTGGAAGCATAAGTCAACATAACACATATAATACGTACCGGCTGGTTCAGCTCGCTAACCGCCACGATTTGGGTTAAATGGATATACTGGAAATCAATCAGTCGAAGTGCGCACACATACACGTCCCACGAAAGAACAATCCACCCCCAAACTGTAACCGAAGTCTTTCTGGTGGACGAACAGGCGCCTGGGAGACTGCCACAAACATTCACATGAAAAATTGAAATGTATAGACGCAGAGAATGTCGCTCTCCTGTCGCTCTTGGGAGAAGTACATCCAAAGTACATCTTGAAATGGAGGAGAATAAATTGCGAACAGCGCACCTAACATGGAATCACTGCATTCAGCTGCCATCTAGCCCGGGGACGGCATAGCCGCAGATAGCCGCCCCGTTTGGCTAGCCGGGGTGCCGCCAGTGATCGCCGCGGAAAAGTCACGCCTGCCAACACCTAGCCGCAGGCTAGCCGAAGCTAGTCAAAGGGCCACTAGCCCAACACTAGCCACAGTTGGCATGAGCCTAATAACTTATGCTTTTTTTCAGTTAAAGTAAAAACCTCGTTCTTACTTCCCCCAAATTAAATTCCGCCCCAGCGACAGACAGTTAGTTCACCACGAAGTCAAGCTTCACCGTTGCGCTAGTGATCAACGATTACTTGACATTCCTTCTTCATGCTGCCGAGTTGCAGGCAACAATCCGACGATTCATTTAATAATTTAACTTTCTTTAATGATTTGCTATTTCCTAATTCACCCAGATTTTAACTACACAGGAAGGATAACCAAATAATCTGAGCTGGAATACTGGAAAGATGCGCAGAAAGTACTCACAATAATCTCTGCATATCTGTAAGCCCAGGGCGGAGAAAGCATTCAAAAGACACTGCAAAGATATTCTAATCTAAGAATATCTTTTGAATGCCTTCCGCGTCTTTTGAATAATTCCAAGGCCGAGATATGCGAAAGTTATTGTAAATACCTTTCCAATATCTTTTCCATATTTTGGCCTGGGCTATCTGGTTATCCTCCCTGTGCTATGTCCATAGTAAAATTTTATTTACATAGTTAAACATTTTTGTACTAACTGCTATACCTTTTCTTAAAATAATTTGCAGCAAAAAAGTATAGAATAATAACTATAAAACCATTAAACAGAATAGTAAAGGGTTAGGTCTTTGCAGCACTTTGTAAAAGTTCTTGTGGCACGTTTTATAGCCCAGTCCATGAGGACCACCATGTGTGGCGAGCCGACACCGGCGAGCTGGCGAGCCAGGGCCTAGCAGGGCCTAGCCCAAGCTAGCCGATGCCTAGCCACAGCTGAATGCAGTGAATGCGATTGCGGAAAGACCTCGGGCCGCACGCTTGCGAGGTCGAAGGGATGTCTAGATACACAGAAAGCAATTTGGGTAAGAATTTATGGGTGTTGCTAGTGCCGGAAGTAGAGGAGACTGAAGCCCAGTCACTGGAATTGCCCTGGACTCTGGGTTGGACAACGAAAGTGAAAGAACGGAGTGGGTGCAATCTGGAGAGCCCTGCCTTCGATTTTCTGGATATCAGATGCCGCAGCCGTGAAGAACTAGAACCTGTGAGACAGGTAACACAATCCGCGGCAACTCCCCAGGGACGAGGCAGAAAGAAAGTGCCAAGATCATTCTATCACCACGCATTTTCTTCTAATGCTATCACCGCTCATTATCTTCTATCACGCGCACTAACCCGCACGCAGTCCCCATCGGCCGCCCGCTCGGCGACGGCCTGCACTACCGCCCCAACCCGCGCTTCGACGCGGACGGCCGCTGGCGCTGGCGCGCGGAGTGGCCTGGGGAGTTGCGGTAGCGCTTTGCTGCGCCTCTGTTCGTACATTCCCCTTTTTAGAGAGGCGAGAGGTGAGTAGTGTGGGGAGTTGCAGGGGGGGAGGAGGAGGAGAAGAAGGATTATGAAGCAAGCGGTGGTAGGTGAGGCAAGAGGAGGTGGGCTGGCCTCACCGACTGCGAGCGAGAGGAGGATATGCTAATACTCATTTATCGGATATGGATTTACGGATATACGGACGGATATACATTGACGACCGTGGTTAGACTCGGGGAAGACGAAGCAGTAGAGGGCGAGATGGTGTTGAACTTGAAAGCGCAAGGACGGACTTGAAGTTTCTTTGAAGACGAGGTTCAAAGTCCTTTGTGGCGGAGCGGGTTGAACGTGGAGTTCAGGCAGTCGTCGTTATTCCTGTAAGCGTACCGAGGCTTTAAATTTCTCCACCATGGCTGGAGATGAAGGAAGTACAAGGCGTGAACACGCTCGCGAGTCGGTAACGTGCCTCTTTCTCTTTCTCCGAACGAACGACTCGGACCCACCATAATCATGGCCATCCCAGCACGAACGATCGGCAGGGCGCTCGTTGGTATGGTGTCTTCGAATTTCGGCGCCTTGCATGGGCGTCGACTGACGAGGAGGGTTCAAATTGAAATTGAAAGTACGCACGCTCGCGACGGAGAAACCTAAACTACACTCGTCGGATTAGGTTAAAGTTGTGGATCCGGCGTACGAGGCACTGGGATAGCGATTCAAACTTCAAAGTGCGCAAGCATCCCATTATTTCGAGGCAGCGCCGAGAGAGCTAAACGGAACTCGTCGGGTCTGGTCTTGAGGCAGGACATCTGTACGGCGACTAGTACTCCGAAGCGCTGCTGGGGAAATGGTTAAAGCCTGCTCATTAATTTCGCGGTAGGTTCACGCGCAGCGAGGTATTCCCGGCAACGAAATTCGGGTGCCGCGGGTGTGGTGGAACTCGCTCTCCAGACTGGGCGGCGTCGCGTATGGATGTTTACAACCAACATAGGTTCGCGCGCCTTATCCGCCTGTATTCGTATGCCTGCTAATTAAATTTATTAGGATCGCCCCGAAACCGAGCTGCCATAAATATGACTCTAACGGATCTGAAAAATCGGTCGTCCTGGGCTGGATGAAAACACCCGCGATGATAATGATGCTCGTGCTGTCCCATCGCCAATGGCCATTCTAACCAAGTTTGAGGTGCTCACAGAAAGTATCACAGTGTCGGATGGCTCGGGCGCCCGATAGATAGATGTACACAGTGCAACAAGAACACCGAAAAGACGTAGATTCCAACCGTGAACCATGATCAATACACTGTCACGGCGTGTCTAGTCTGCACAGATCGCAGTATATCTAGCTACAGGCTCTACTATATAATGCTGAAATTTTACATGGAGACATACATATCATGGAATGATATACAAAATGTACAACAAGGATGGTTGAATTGCCTAAAATGGACGAGTTGGCACTATCTGCGCCAATATCAAATGCCGAGGACTACATACGCAAGGCTAGCCGATGGCTCACGTTTTAGCCCACACGATGTGAGGTTTTCAGGTGAAAAGACCTCAAAAAAAGCGTAAGAAATGGGCACGGCAACACTTCCACTCATACTTCGTGTGTTGCTTTTATTGGGGCAATACATGTGGTGAACCGAGGTCGGGATGGGTTAGGTTTATGTTTATGAGCAGGCTCCGCAATGGGTACAAGGGCTGGAAGTACAAGGGAAGAAATTGTGCGTGAAACACCTAAAAAGGATACACCAAAGGGGAGTCGAACCCCTGCCGCTTGCTTACCGGCTTACGCTAGAAGCCTTACGTAATCCTAAACTGGAAGGCAAGCATGATAACCGCTTCACCATTGGTGTGTTGAGAGCGCTGGAAGGAAGGGAATATGTACGGGAATCGAACAGTCCAACAAGCTTGTGAATCGGATAACAGGTGGCCGAGATATGGGCTGGGCAAGATAGTGTTCCATTTTGAGTTGCACCAAATTGGGCAATCAGTGGGGGCTCCGTGTATCAGCGACTAGGATAAATGACAGGTACAGTGAGGAATGGTTGGTCAGTCCTCATGGTTGATCCTTCTGTTACTGTCATGGAATGGATTTCATAGTTATTTTGAATATCCTTGTATTTTACCCTTCATAAATTCCGCTTTTTGGTTCTAGAGTGCAGACAAACATCTCTAAGATATTATTCAGAGTTCAGGCACCTTCCCCATCTTAGTGTTTAAGCTTATGAACCACTGAAACGGAAGTAAGTTCGTTCCCATCAATATTTGATCGGAGATCACCTTTTGATGTGAGCTTGTTCTTGACTCCGCAAGTATGTATCTACATAGTTGTTGCACTCATTAAGTGCCAAACCCTTCTGGTTTGGTGCATGGTCAATGTATATAGAACTTTAGTTACCAACAGTACCTGGAATAGATGTTTGAGTACCCTCTTGCTCTTGCAAGAACATTCTAGAACATCTGCACTACTGAGTCACATTCCTTTGGCTTGTAGAACATTCTAGTGCAACACAAGAATGTTCCAATGCTATGTAGAACCTTCTAACATCTCCATAATCTCTAGTATATATATGAGAGCTTGTCCTCATGTCATGGCACCACATCTTTACTTCAATCTACCACGTAGCATCTACTCTCAACCTCCGAATAAGCTAGCCATAGTGCCTATAGCCATTTCAAATAGCATCCTCCCCTGAAGGACATTATCCTCGCCTTGTATCTAGACCCGGATCCAAGGCTTTGACTGATTTAAGTTTGAGTCACTCGTATTGAGAATTAACTAATCTTGCTATCTGATATATCCAGATACGTGCTAACAACTTAGAACAAACTACACCTATTCCAAAACATCACTCACGACTCCAGCAATCTATTGCTGTCTTATGCTTGTAAATCACTAAATCCTAACAGTTACCTTGCTTGTCAAGGTCTCTCCACACTCATAATTGGCTCTGATCTTGTCCCACCCATTGATCTGTCTTCTCCCGAGTCAATCAGCGAATTCTACGTACAGATGGGCTAAATCCTCGGGCATCACACATTGCCGGCTATTGCCGGGTGACTTGCTTAAGACCGGCATTAATCAAGAGTGTGAGCAGGAGCTAGCAGGACACAAAGGGAAACTTGTTTCAGTCAAGCAAGGTCTCTTCCAACTACATCGGAGCTCTCTAGTGCAATGATTTCCCTTGAGAAATATTCCGAGCTCAGATGAGCCACAACTCAGCTTCGGCCAGTGGAGAGTAAGCTTCTGAAGAAACTCACGCATAGGATCAAGTCCATGTTGGCTTATATTGAAACAGAGTACCAGCTTAACATGACTAATTTTGCATGAACTGCAAAACTTTGTTGTGTTTTCGCAGGCTTATGCAAACGGCTGTACCAAATTTGCACCTGCGCCAGGTGCTGCTGTGTCCCACCCTGGCAATCAATCTTAGGGTTGGACTTTGAGGAGAATAATATTTCCTTTGTATCACGGGGGCATTTGCATGTAAAATTCAACACAAGAGACAGATGTGGTATGTTTTGATAGCAGAAAGTGGTACAGTATAGTTGGTTTCATGACTAGCCTAAGTTGATGGCATGTGCTGCTTACATAATCCTTATGTACGAAGTCGCGCTAACCACTTGGTTCGATTAGTGTGATTTCTAACACAGAGTACAACTCAGTATACTATTTATGTCTGGTTAATTGGTTAGAACCTGATGGGCCGTGGTGCTGACACTTTCTCTCATCATAATAGCTGACTAGGTCTATCTAGCTCACAATCTGATTTGTACAGGTCAAAGAGTTACATAATGTGTATAGTACAGGCCTGAGATATAAGGAGCATAGATAAATATGATAGAGAAGGAGAAGATGCATGAACAAGGAAAAGCCAACACAAGGACATACTTTTCTTTTACCCAACTCCTGTAGGACCTGCAGAGTGTTTAGTAGCCTTCACAAATATTTATAAGTTGGGGCAGACACCAATAGCGAGTCTGGCAAGCGTAAGTTGTGTGAGGAGGTACGAATGGTGCTTTATAAAGCCCAGACAGATAGCGAGAGCTTGGGAAGTCCTTAGCGGCTATCCGTGGTAGCTTGAGAGAAGTCTCGAGGGAAGGCTTTCCTAGGAACAGTAGTTAGTAGTTTATGAGCACAGGGACTCGCCAGATACCGGAATCTCCAGGCTTTCTTGAAGGCCAGAGGCAATGGTAAGAGGTAGTAAAAGTTATGCGATCACACGGGCCGAAGCCCGACTATACTCCGTGACATGAGTAATATGATGACTACAGATCGTATGTACGATGATAACCCAGGCACGCTGCTCAGAGGCGGCGCGACTGCAACGGAAACGGAAGGTAAGTAGTGTACACTGGTTATATAAAGGAAAAGAAAGGAAAAGATTTAGTATGTTACAACTCCCTCTGTGTCAATATTCTCTGTTTTTCATGTTTTTGTGAATTTAAACCGCAATAGGGGACCTGTCTTTTCCCTCGTTCTCCTGAGCTTCTTCAGTCTCAGAGTGATCTGTGGCATTCACAGCAGAGAGCCTATCCAGTGGTGCCTGGAGTGCCCTAAGCGGAGCTAGTCCAGCCTGATGAGCTTGATCTGCTACACCGAGTCTGGCATCAATCTGAGCTGTAGCCTTGGTTTGGGATGACCGCTCAAAAGCTGGTCGACAATTCTTCCAAAATTCCACTGCTTCAACCCACTGCCCTCTTTGTTGGGCCAGATCTCCGAGCCGTAGCATACAGTCGGCCCTGCTGCGATGGACATCCATATAGGTAAAGCCTTCGAGTGCTACAACGAACAGACTATGTGCCGTCACTTCATCTCCATTCACAAGGAACACATCTCCGAGAAATTGAAGTGCCTTGTAGAGGTCGAACTTTCTCTTTGGTGTCTTTGCATGCCCCAAATATATCACCGGCCATCTAGATGACCAGTTAAAGTTGGTGACTCCCCACTGGGTCACATCTGCCAGTTTCGAAAGACAGTGGGATATAACTTCCCCTTTTCCTCCGCAAGTTGAGTTGAAGGAGGCCTGGAAAATATTTTTTGCAGCTACAGTATCCTGGTCCCTCAAAAACAAAGATCTGCTAATGCCATGTCACAGTACATCATGTCCCCGAGCGGGTGTATAATAGTGAAGGTATCTTTTGCTTTGTTTACATTACGGTGCACATCATCCTTGCATGCGCTAATCATCACCTCAAGCTGAGCAATGTTGAGCAGGGTAAAAGCATAGTAATAGGGTTCTTGCTCAACAGTGATGTTGTGGAGAATTTGAACATAGATCCTTTGAGCCTCAGAATATTGACTTCCGCAGATGAACCTCTGCTTCAGAATTCAGAAGGCTATGATCTAATGTAGCCCCACTCAATCCACAGAGCTTCAACAAATTTCTGGCCCTGTCAAGGAGATCGATGCTCTGTTTGTAGTCTCCTAGGTGTGTGCAACAAGTAGTCTGATACCACAGTCCTCGAGCTTCCTGATAGCTATTGGTAGACAACTGAGCCAGGCACTGTACTTCACAGGCATCTTTCCGGGATCCAATATAGTCTCCATCTCTCTGCTTAATCTCAGCAATGCGAGCTAATATCTGCGACTCTTGAGTTGTGGTTTGGGAGGATCTTGCCAATGTGAGGGCCTTGTTAAGAAATTCCATGCCTGCAGGTGGATCTATATTACGAGTACTTATAGTAATCGTTATTTTAATCAATCGACATGAGGTTTTTCAGGTGTGGTTAAAAATGTCCTAATTTAAGATTGCAATGCAAAATAGTGGCTGTCCTTAAAATCTGCTTCATATTTTGTGAAGCATTAGTGGCTGTGTTTGTGATTTTGCAATTGGTTCAAATTGTCAGCTGTGTTCGAATCTCTCGAGGCGTCTTCTTTTTTTCGATGGTGATTTGCATATGTTAGGACTTTTAATATGCGCGTATAGATCACGTGTTGTTGTCGGATTGCTGTACGCGCCACAATATGCCTGAATACACCAAGCGTCCGGATTATACATTGCCTGATAATAATAATAATACAAAATAAATGTAAAAAGCCCCGAGAGAAAAAAAAAGAAAAGGGGGACTATAAGTGCGAGTTTGCCGCGCCGGGCCGCGGCCTTCACCCCCAAGTATAATCAATAATACCATCCAGCTGCAAACTCACACTTGAGATCTAGGTCATGGAAGTTGTGGAAGTGGGATTCTGCCTGAGTTACGGGTAGATCCGGCTTGGGAATTGGATTCAATCTCCCTGATTTGAATCTCTCTACAATAAACTCTACAGCCATCCGGTGGTCACCTGTCTGAGGAAGGATATTCGGGACAACATCCATTAAATCAAGCCATCCATTTGCTGTCTCTCGAGTGAATTCACTCAGTGATATTGTGCACTGTATAGCATCAGAAATATGTGGGCTATCTGGATGTAACCCTTGCTGGAGAATTTGCTGTAGGTTTCCTAAATTGCTAGTTATTTGATTCATATTTGCGGCCATCTGTATTTGTCCACGGTATTTGTGGGAGAGATTCAAAAGTAGATGGAAGTGTTTGCGCAGAGGTTCAACAACATATACTGAAGGTGGATGGAACCGTAGAACATGCTCTCGAATGGGTGCCAATGATCTGAGCCGCTTGTTGTCATCAATGTAAGCCAATGAAGTGCCTAGCAAGATAGATCTGCACCCCAAAATATCCCGGATAGCCAGCTTACTTTGGAGAAGTTCAGCATCTGAGAGGCCACCGGGGAGAATTGAGAGAAGGCTTAGAAATTCTTTTGCCCCTGGTGCAGAATTCATCCGGGAGGACGAAACAGACAATGCAATAGATGCATCTAAATTAGATCCTTTGTCATGACCATAGGACAGAA